GTGTGTGTGTGTGTGTGTGTGTGAGCGAGTGAGTGAGTGAGTGTGTGAGTGTGTGTGTGAGTGTAGCTTTGTGGATCTGAGCTTTTGCCTGTGGCCGTCTGATCGCTACAGATGCAAATGCACAGTCACTCTGATGGGATCGGTTTGTGCAGCTTGGTTTTGATCGCATAAGTTTCGAGAGCGGCGTGTGAAGGTGAACTTTTCTCTTCTGAGACGCTTCACTCGTCCAGTGTTTGTGCCGCAGCGTGGAGTTTTGAAGTCGACGCTGTGTGGCGCGTCTGATCTGCGCGGCACAGATCCCGACACCGTGCGGAGCAGCTCGAGAAATCCAGAAACACGGCAAAAGTTTTGATGCAAACACAAACAGGCAGAGTCACAACGATGCAGACACACACCTCACTACAGCCGTGTGTGTTTGTTGTGCGGGTGAGCTGAGGTGAAGGGATCTCCTGTCAGCCGCTCGCAGCAGAACAAACAGAGAGGTGCTTCCTCTGTGCATCTTGAAGTTTGGCTTCCTGGAATATAGCACGGGAGTCTCTGCAGGACGCCAGAGACTCTGCACCAGCCTCAGCATTCAAAATGTCTGCTCGTGGTGATGAAGACAACTTCTCACTCGTGGTTAAAGTCGTGTGCTGCAGTGGCACAGTTTTTTAAAAAAGCTCGACCACAACACGGGGAGAAAATCCCAGTTTTCTCTTTACAGGCGTCTCACATCGGGAGCTGTGAGCGATAACACAACAGAAGCACCAGAGCTGCTTGTGTCTTGTGTTTGAGTCTATTTCAGTCTGTGCTCATGAAGCATGGAGCTGCTGCCTGTGGCTCAGTGTGCATGTGGGTGCAGAGCGAGGTCGGGGGGATGTTTACTGAGGATTTGCACCTCTTTTTTTAGATGCTCAGTCAAACTGTGTTTGTCCTGATTCACTGGGGAGAAAAAAAAAAGCAGCTTCTCTGAAAATCACGTGTTTCGGTTTAATGCGTCACTTCTGTTGACGCTCGTCACAAACACAAGATTAATATTTTCATGACATTTGATGGATCCTAGCAGCTCGTATACGAAGCACATTAATAATTATCACAGACTGAGAATGATCGTCAGTTATCTTCCCTTTAACTGACGTCTTCAGACAAACATTTCCAATTTGTGTTTTATGAAAGGAATATTCACCTCACTTTTATTCTGCATTATGATTCAGGCTCCCACGTGATCGTAGGACCCAGATGATGATGATGCTTGTGCACTGTTTGTGTTGTGTGTTGCACAATGAACTGCTGCTGTATCACTTTGGCCCTAGAACCATTTCCCCATCGGGACAGTCCAGTTGTTATCTCCGCTCATCACCCGAAGCTCGACACTGGTTTCCGTCTCCCCTCGCTCCCCGTGTGTTTCGTCTCTCTACTTGTCTTCATATCTTTGTCGTGCTGTGTGTTCGTCCTCCAGCTCGTATCTGTAGACGTCTGAATTGCCCCGCTGCCCACACGGGGCCCTCGGGGGACTCACATCTGCAGGGGCCACACTTCACAGAACATTATCTTCTTCAGAAAACTCTCCTGATGCACATCTATAGTTCCTTCTGCACAAACACCAGTGCACATCAATAATTCACACTCAATCACTGAACGTGGTTTGTGACACACAGATATCAAATATTTATCGGCTGCTGCACGTGAGGAGCTCAAACATTTCCATGTAAACTCAAGCAATGACAGACTTTATTTGGATGTTGGTTCTCGCTGGAGACGTCAGCTGAAGTCGATGATGAGCAGCAGAGATGAAGATGGTTTGACGATGTGATGCAGCAGCAGAAAAACTGAAGGAACCACCTGGAACAAGCAGGTTAAAACTCAACAGAACGAATTTAACTTAGAGTCCAGCTGCTGTCCAGACAGTTGTGTGTGTGTGTGTGTGTCTGTGTGTGTCTGTGTGTGTGTGACTCAACAGAGTAACTTTATGTTTTTCTTTATTTGAATTTTTAGAATTATCATCTGTCTCTTTCCACTGATATATTTCCTGCCTTGGGGTGGCGCTGTAGCTCTTTAAATTCAGTTTTGTGGCTCGCTCACTGTCTGAGGATTCACACTGAGCTCCAATGGGGGTTTCTTTGTACTTCACCACAGATTCAATGTAAATTTAATTATTAATCACGACAATAGATAGAAATGTTTGACTCATTTATCAAGAAGCTTCTCTAATGTTTCTCCTGTTGCTTGATATAATATAATATAATATAATATAATATAATGTAATATAATGTAATAACAGGCTGTTTGAAGCTCTAGGGAAGTGAAAGCTACGTGTTTTGTTGTGTGGATGGAAACACGGTCCTGTTGCACGGATCACTGTGAAATTAGGATTAGACGTTCGTGAACCCTAATGACCTTGTGATCTCCTGCATAAGTGAAATATCTCAAGAATGGAACGAATGAGGGTTTTTCCAAATGTCTCGATGTTTATTTAGAAGATTGCAGCACAAACATTTGCTCCAGAGACGCTGACGATCTTTGTCCCATCATCAGCCCCTGCTGCATGCTCTATGCTGAATGCTGCAGAAAACGCTGCAGTGACACGGTGAACATGTTAAACGTTCAATTTTATTCCCGCAAAATATTTCCACCCAGACTCACCACCCAGAGCATTTTATTATTCACAAAGCTTGGATTCAATCACTATATCATATTATTCAGTTGCATCTGTTGACATCTTTTATCTATAACTGTCAATTTCTACCTGTAAAATGTCCTTTTGGTTCAAAAGTCAAACAAACCTACTTTAAATAAATGATTCAAGAAAATTCAAATTAGCCAGATCACTGAAATATATTACAACTTATAATACAACAATACATATTATTATATCATATCACGCCCTGTCTCAGCTGATCTATAATAACCACCTGAACGCACACAGGTTTTATTCACCTACTCTGATTCCAGCAGGTAAACAAATGAACTGGTAACGTGACACAGTCAACGTAGAAAGTTTTAGCAAAGTGACACATTCACTGTACAAGCGCTGCTGTTAAACATCAGTCACGTTTACGTCTCACTGATTCAGAGCGGCTTCACAGGTGTCACTGCTGTTTGCCTGCCCTCTGTACGTTCTCCCAATTCTACCTTCAAACTCGACGCTGGAGCTGCTTCCACTGACTCTGACGTCTTGCCCACAGCACATGTTGCTCACCAAGCGCAGCACCTCCTTCCTCACTGAAGACGACAACAGGAAATACATGACGGGATCCAAGCAGCTGTTGAGGGCAGAGAGTAACAAAGCCACCTCATTGGCTTGGTCAGCCACTAGCCTCCAATACCGGGACGTGTCTGTGATCTGAGTTTTTATATAGAACGGTCGGATCATGTGGTACGGGACAAAACACACTGTGAAGAGGAAGAGGATGAAGAAGGACTTTTTGGCAGTTCTGGTGTAGCGGGCAGCGTTGGGCAGGTCTGGTTTCTCTTGTGATGTCCTGAGAAGCTTGAGGGCGATCTTTCCGTAAGACACAACCAAAGAGATGAAAACGAGCCAGAAGATCACCAGGATACAGATGTTGATGTAGGCCTTCCACTTTGCATCCTGGAGCGGCTTGTAGTGGAAACATCTGGAAAAACTAAACATTCAAGCTGCTTAGATCACACACGTACACACAAATATAAAGACTCAATAAATGAGGAAGAAAGTTTGATCATAGGTGTCACCAACTTGCATGGCTGAGGGTCACTCTTTGATATCAGAAACACCAAAGCCAAAGTGAGGGACGCGATCCAGATGACTGCACAGAGGACGCTGCTCCACTTCCTGGAATGCAGTCTGTGCCGCGTCCCAGCAACACGGTTGATCTTCAGGTAGCGGTCCACGCTGATCAGCCCCAGCAGCGTGACACTGATATACATATTCATGTAGAAGAGGTGGCCCACAACTTTACAGAAGGTAGGACCCAGGTGCCAGTTGTTGCCCAGGCTGTGATAAAGAACCCGGAATGGTAAACATGCCACCAGCAGCAAGTCTGCAAACGCTGCATTTATTAGGAACACCCTCACAGAGTTCTTCTTAGAGTGGACACAAAAGAAAACCCACAGAGCCACCAAGTTCCCAACTAGACCCAGGATGAAGATTATAGAGTAGATCACCGCCAACGGGATCTGCAGAGCATCATGATCTATCCACTTGGACTCGGGGCAGGCGGTGGAGTTCATCTGGCTGATTTTTGTGGTGCAGCATAGAGTGGAAGTGTTTGGAGGTGAGACGGTGTTTGTGGTGGAGAAGGTTTTCATCGCTCTGCAGACCGGAGGAGAAAGAACAGGTGAATCATCAGAGTAGCTCAGTGCTGCATGTTGGGAGTGTTTGCTTCACATGGGAGAGCGTTGGACTCATGTTTGTGTAATGGCCGAGGTCCAAACATATGGATTAGTTAATAAGCGTTAATCCTTCCCTCATCACTTTAACACTATTTCTCCGCAGTGCCAACAGGAAGTGGAAAGTTTAGCTCTGATAACGCTTTGTATGATAAAGATAGAACATATAGTAACTTCCTGTCATATCATTTGTGTGTGAAGGAGATGAGTCTGCAGACGCACAGTTTGTTTTTCAGTAGATTTTGTCTTGTAAAGACTCAAACCATCTGAGGTTCATATCAAAAGATTAGAAACTGAAATAGTCATGAAGGAGAAGCTTTGCTCCCAGCATGCAGTCCTCATCTTGTCCCCAGTCCTCAAACTAAAAGATGAGATTTTTAAAGAAGAACTCATAAAAGAACTCACCTCGTCATTGAAGTCCACAGAAACTTTCACTCGTTTCTTTGTGCACACAGCTCACGCTCACACGATGAGCTGAACACGAGCTCAGCTGTGGTTTTTGTAATCCTCCACTCGGGTAAATTCTTTTCGAGTCTAATCTGTATGAACGGCTCTTCAAAAAAGATCCTTTCCTTTTGTTATTGTCGGTTCATCTTGAAATAAGGAAGTGCCAGGAGCTTCTGTCTTCGTCCAGGATCTCTACAGTTGTGACAAGTCGACAGACAAATGCTGGAGTGCAGAATGTGGTGTTGTCGTACAGAGAAAAGTTGAAGCTGTGGTCAGCCCTCTCCTTCCTCTCAACCACGATGCAGAACTGAGATGGAGAGAAAAGCCTGGGCAGGGCTCAGCACAGACCTTCTGATTACACACATGAGGGCGAGCAGTGGGCTCACACAGCATGCTCCACTTACACAATGTGCTCTCCAGTTTGGGCTCTGATTATAATATGGAGGTATTTCCCCTGTGCAGTTAACGGTGGAAGAAAAAGGCTCCAAAGATACCACAATATTTAAAGTCAAGTCAGGCCAGAGTCAAACACAGGAGACTCCAGCTGCTGTCCAACTACGTCTTCAGGTTCACGGGTCAGAGTTGGTCCCCCTTCTGTTTAATGTGGGAAGCATCAGTAGCTGTCAGTGTTGGTTGTGTCCTACACATTTAATATTGATGTTCACAGTTGTCGTCATGTCGTCCTCACACATTTGCTGTATTTATAAAACAGAGACGTCTTAGTTAGAAACCAAATATAAGACATTGGATCTAATGAATCATAACTGAGACAAACATTATTCCACTGAAGTTGCTGTCAGACATGATATGTTTGGTATTTATGTGTGTTGCTCTTCTGCGATCCTCCCTCAGCATCAGTTAATCGTGTGTGGTCGTGGTGGGCGAGGGTTTGGGGGTTCGGGTGTGTCTCACACATGTGATTTTAGTTATTTATAAGAGGGTGTCGCTCTTCAATTAGCAGAAAGAAAAGCATGAGATCATGGTTCTCCCGTCTCTTCTGTTGTTCTCAGCCTCACTGCGTGCTGCTGGCGTCCAAAGAGAACTCGGCTCCTGTGAAGCTCGGTGGGTTCGGAGTCGCCATCCAGCTCGGAGAGTCGGGACTGGTGGCTGGAGGTACAGTGATTCAAATTCTCCTCGCTGATCATGCAATGAAATATTAATTACTGTGACACTGTTGCTCTCAAACATTAAAAGGTTTGTGGACATATTTGATCAGGAAAACATTCCAGACAGAGAAGTGAAATTATGTTTTAGCCAGGAGGACGATGACGTCATCCTGATTACAGACGTGAACAGAAGACAGATACCGAGTGAGGTGAATGTTTCTCATCACGAGAGAACTCATTATCTGTCTATGTGTAAACAAGACCAACCCTAATAATACAACTTTCCTTTGTGGATACATCGGTGTCTCCTGCATGAATACACACACTCAATGTCAAAGACTGTAAAACCAAAATCAGTCAGAAGACCAGTTCAGGAAATTTAACTTGTAGTTTTTCACCTGGAAATGAAAAAGTTCTTCTGCTTTTATCAAAAAGTAGGAAACAAACAAACAGTAAATGTGATTTCCTCTTTTTAACCATAAAGTCCTTGGAGGAAACTAATCGTGCTCTTACTCTGCAGGGGACCACTAAGAATAGAGATCAGCGTATTGTCACTGGTTTCTATAGCAGATGTGAAACCTGACCAGGCGTCCTCTTTTAGTGAAGTATCCTGACTGCAGATGAAGTGTGTGGTTTCATGTGTGCGTTTGTAACTTCAGGTCGAGTCGGCACTCCTCACTTCATGGCCCCGGAGGTGGTGAAGCGGGAGCCTTACGGTAAACCTGTGGACGTGTGGGGCTGTGGCGTCATCCTCTTCATCCTCCTGTCAGGGTGCCTTCCATTCTATGGCACCAAGGAGCGTCTGTTCGAAGCCATTTGTAAAGGCAAATACAAGGTGAGGCGTTCACGGAAGGTCCAGCAGCTAAAACCAAGTGTTTGAGACAGAGGCTGAAAAGAGGAGCTGCAGCGAGGGACATTCTGAGGACGGAGAACATGACAGCATGAAAACGTTACAGTCGTAACTCGTTCAAATAATCAACATGAGTAGAAACAGAATATTTCTCCTCTGACGTCCACACTCTCAGTGTTTTCAGCTCAGTTTGAATTGAACCAGATTTCCATTCATTTGAAGAACAGAGACACAGACTGAAGCGATGACGTCTGTCTCAGTCGTGGTAGATTTTCTGATTCACAGCTGTAAAACTCGTTTGGTCCTGAAGTCTACAGAGTCAGTGACTAACTCACCACCGGTGGACCGTCTCCTTATTGTTTGTATTACCCGCTGAGTGGAAGCCAGGTAGTTGACTTCCTGCGACGTGGAAAGTTGTCAGTGTGTTGGTGAGAAATAGAAACGTTTCGGTAACTTCCTGTAAACGCAGTGTGTTTTTATTTCGTGTGCTTAGATGAATCCTCGTCAGTGGATTCAAATCTCAGAGAGCGCCAAGGATCTGGTGAGACGCATGCTGATGCTGGACCCTGCAGAGAGGATCACCGTCTACGAGGCTCTTAACCACCCCTGGCTCAAGGTACTGCGGGGACTGTTTTTATCACACGCACCTGAATGCACCGTCGAGATTTGTTTGAAAAGTACAGATTACAGCTGAAGCAGACAGAACTGTATTTCCCACGGCTGTACTCCGCGTGACTCGTCAGCTTCCTCTTCATGTGTGAAGTTGGTGAAATGCTCCTTTAAACTTTCTCGTCTGAGCAGTTTATTTTCTGCGTTTCTCAGGAGAGGGACCGGTACGCCTACAAAATCCACCTGCCAGAGACCGTGGAGCAGCTGAGAAAGTTCAATGCCCGCAGAAAGCTAAAGGTTTACATGTGTATACACACACACACACACACACACACACACACACACACACTGCTGATGTCACAACATCCCAGGCTGGTTGCCATGACGTTGTCTCTGTCTGATGATGAGAGTGACGTAGATGTTGTGTTTCAGGGGGCGGTGCTGGCTGCAGTGTCCAGTCACAAGTTTAACTCCTTCTATGGGGACCCTCCAGAGGAACTCCATGATTTCTCCAGTGACCCCACCTCCTCAGGTGCACACACACACACACACTACCCCTTACACTATTCCAAAGTGTTTGTACCTTGAATGAAACGATGAACAGTCTCTAACACTGATATTCATTCGTCTGTCACATGGTGATTTGTGTCTGTTTCTGTTAATGCCTCTCACCTGTTAGGACTTCTCGCAGCAGAAAGTAGGTATCTGTGTGTGATGTGTGTGTAATTTAATTAATCATCTGTTCATTATCACATTTCAATAGCTGTGGTCTTGATGGGTTTTTTTTAATCCAAGGAAGTGCAGAAACATGTTTTGGTTTTTAAATGAACTGTGAGGAAACTAGAGCTTCTCAGAGCAACATATATTAAAAATAAAAACTCTTGTGTGTGTGTGTGTGTGTGTGTGTGTGTGTGTGTGTGTGTTACAGGGGCTGTGTCTCAGGTGCTGGACAGTTTAGAGGAGATCCATGGTCTGACCGACTGCAGTGAAAAGGATCTGGATTTCCTTCACAGTGTTTTTCAGGACCAGCATCTTCACACTCTGCTCGATGTGAGTGACCCAAACACACATCGAGCTCAAAAGACTGAGCAGGAAAAAAAACAGGACACTTAGAAAAAAGGAAGCGGTCCGAACTGCAGACGTGCTGCTGCACACGGTGCAAAAAGGTCCAAGATGAAGTTTGGACAAAGACGCTGTAAAATGTTAAAATCTTTTAGAGCAGCGTGAAAAGTGAGGAGCGCTCACTCTGCAGCTTTTTCTGGAGCCTGTCAGGCTGCCAAACACACACACACACACACACACAC